AAACAAAAAAAAATATATGACTTTATATTGAACAGTGGTCGAATGGCGGTGGCGCTACATCGTCGAACCTACCTTCTGAGAAAAATAAAAAACGATTTTCGGTTTTTTGTAAAAACGGTCTGTTTCTCGAATAGAGGGTGACGAAAATCTTCCAAAACTTTTGGAAAAGAAGAGATGCTGAATAAAAATTTTTATCGTATATGAAAGAGCAGATCACGGGCTGTCTCCCTATGCATTTTTCTGAATTTCGATGATTCTGACGAAATTTGATATTTTTTGAGGGGGGGGGGGGGAGGGCTTAAACAAAAACTTCAATGATATTATTAAATAATTTGCACGAAAGATATTTTATTTGTTAAAAAGTCAAAAGTTAGTTTTCTTTTTTTCGTGACGTTATTCTAGTAATAGACTAATTATTTTCAAATTGCTATGTATATAAGCATAGAAATAACAAGTAGTTCGAACATGATTAAGCAATTTATTGCATTCAAGAATAGGTCACAGATGTAGAGAGCAATATTATTTTACTAAGAAAACTTCATGTTTTTAATGAAAATTCATCTACAGATGATAAGGAACCATATGACGAAAGTATTTGATTACATGAAGAGAACACTGAGTTCTATTCGAGTGTTATCAACAACAAGCAAACATACACAGCGAAATTGATCAGATTTTAGAAGGAGAAGAACATCAAGTGAATTTTGAATCACTTAGAATCTGAGATGATTTCTTGTTTTTGTTGCTGTTTTGAGGAAGTAAAGATTTGACAATTGTACTAGGACTGTGAAAGTATCTGTTGGATATTCATTAACTCTAATTCGGATGCGAAATTTCGTATTCATGCAGAACATTAATTCTTCAGTCTCTATACTGTATACAAAACTAAAATAATTTTCTTCATTTATACTAATAAAATATTATTAAAGTTCTAACTAATTTAATTATTATGATAGTGCTTACATCATGGTGGGATGTCTATGAAACGTTTGTAAATATATTAAAAATGGTTGAAGAACCACATCTATTCGATCCTCTTCTTGTCAATTGGCAATCAACAACATCAGGTATATCTCTATTTCATCCTATTCCAGAACGAAATTGTTCATCAGCTGGCATTCCAGGTAATAAAAAAAAAAAAATGATTTATTTTAATTCTTTTTTTTTTTCTCGTCTAAATTTTTTCTTATATTTAAGGAAAATATTGTCCATGTTCACGTACACAAACACTTGATATAACATTACCTATGGTTAAAGAATTAACAATAGCTAGTATTAATTATATAAATAATATTAAATTAAAAAATCATAAACATCTATGTATGAAACTTAATCTTAAAACAATAATTCGTGCTGAAGTTGAAGAATTACAAATAACAAATAATATAACATCAGAAAATAATTTTACTCGTTTATTTACAGTTCTTTTTGAAGTATCACCATCAAATGGAATATTTGAAAGTAATCTACTTTATGATAATAAAAAAAAATCTATACAATTACATGGTGAAATTCTTCGAATTAATCTTTATGGTCAAACATCAACATGTATAAAAGATAAATATGATTTACGTTCATTTTGTTATTGTATTTCTTATCATAAACGATTTCAAAATGTTCTATCGAATACTAATTATTATACATCTAATGTTCCAATAGTCAATTCAACCTGAATACCAACGAAAGCATAAATTTTTATAAATTTTGTTCTTTTTTTTTTTTGTTATATAAAATTTGACCGCTGGCGATCATAGTTTTTGTTATTTTTGTTTTGTTTTGTTGTACGGAAATTCAAAAATAAAATAAAAGAATTCACAAGTAATGACCTTTTTTCGACGCTATGAATTTCGAGAATTGAAATTAATGAAAGTACTAACTAGCAACGAAGAGTCTTCATTTATATGGCATTCGACAGTGAACATTTTCAAGCTATATTAGCAAACAAAAAATTAAAGGTAAAAAAATCTTTGATTTTTACATTCAGAAACGAACGGGAATGGGGCTGTCTTAAGGATGGTGGATATAAAATAAAGATTTTATCGGTGTCTTAATGGAATCCCTCCCTTTTCGGATGTTAAAATTAAAATTTTTTCGACTTTTAGGTTTTCATCATGTATATACCTTCAAAATATCCTCTATCAAATGCCATGTAAAATAAGGACCGTTCGTTATTAGTAAGTGCTTTCATTAAACTTCACTCTCAAAATTCTTAGCAATAAACCTCGAAGTGTATTGCTAAGAATTTTGGCCTCTAATAGCATTGAACACGGTCAGTTTTCGATTACTTCAGTTGGAAGAAAAAATTCCTGATACATACAGGAAAATTTGTTTTCCGTCTTTCTTGAAATAAATTTATGTACAGAATCGCTCGCGTTTTTTCGACATAATACGTTCGATCGAGCTAAAATATTTTTTACAGGCATTGGACATTGCTTGGAAATGCCTAATTACTGAGTTTTTGTTTTGAGAAATATTGGACTGTTGATTTTCAACAGATTTTATAAAAAAAAGCTCTAATACACAAAATAAGTTTTGTTTTTTTTCGAAGTACGTTCAATATTTTGATCGTCTTATTCGAATGGACTAACTAAACAATCAACTTGATAGAATAAAAACTCAGCAAATGTTTATTCTATCACCAAAGTTAAATATGTTTTCTAAACGAAAGAAGACAAATGATGCTTTATTTGAGCAATGCCAAGAGAAGACAGCCTAATTTTATTATGTTACTATGCTCTTCGCCGAAATTCGATAATATGCATTTCCATCATGTCACTATCAACGATGTGAGTATCAGCAATGCCTGTCTTTGATGATTGTCATGCCGATGACCAAAACAATATTCTGAAATAAAACCTACAGTATATTCAGTTAGCTTGTTAGATATTCAATCAATCATAAAACAGTTTCAAAGTGATTTTTTAATGTTTCTAAGTTTAGAATTTCTTTACTATACTAAATATGTTAACAAAATAAGTTTATAATCATTTTGAGGAGCCTTTTTTAACGTACTTTTCCATTTTAAAGACAGTTCTACGAGAATATCTTTTCGTATGAAAACATTCATTTTACAACATGAGTCAAGACGTCTTAGTTCCTCTTTTATAAATGTTATACGAGTTGATTCAAAATCGTTATTTTTATGCGAATATTTCGTTCTTAAAATTAAATATTTGTTTTATGCCATAATCACGATATAAATATCTGTAATTATGATAAAATGACAATCAAATTATCTGTATAACAATAAATCCTCATTGTTAACTAATAATATTCTACAATCGATGGCATAGTTATCATGCATATTCAAAATTGATAAATTACCTAGAATTCATGTATCTATTATCATTTCAATCTTTAAAACAATGTGTGTGTGTTTTTTTTATCGAATTATTTGAAATCATTTAATGAATTGTAATTTTTATTTCAAATTATCTTAGTTTTTTTTTTTCATCTTTATTTCTTTCCAATACCACCAATTAAACCAAGTTGCATAAGATATTCAAGATTTGCAACGACGTTTTTATCTAACGAAACATTAAAATTAAGTAAACAAAATATAATATTCAATAATAAAAATTTACTTACCAACGCAATTATTATTAAGCATAATATAATTTGGACAACATTTATAATCTTCTGGAGCACAATATGTATTCGAATTTGGCACAAGATATGTTATAACTGTATATTGAGTAGTCATACTATAAAGAAAAAACATGAAATAGTATTAATTTAATGTTAAATATACATATACTAACTAAGTTTCTGTTTTATAAACTGGTGTCCACATACATCCGGTTGTTGTTTCTAAAGAGCCCGTAGTTGAAGGTGTTGTTTCACTTCCTCCTACAGGACGAATTGGACGTTTTGTTGAAGATGGAATTGGTATTGGTGGACCTATAATAGAAAAAAATCTTTTTCATTTAATCAGTTTATTTCTATTATCATATAAATATATATATATATACGAGTTGGATTAATATTTCCATGACAATCTTGATAACCAACTGTAACGGTATGTGTTTGTGGTACTAATGAAGTTTGCATTTTAGTATATACTTCATCATTATTGATATGTTGCCAATTTGTGCAACAATATGCATCAGTACTAATGAATATAAAATAATTCAAAAGATGAAAAAAATATAATAAGTAGTTACTTTCGTTCATTATCAGTTGCACGCTTCGAATTGATTTCTTTAGCCAAATATTGATATTCTTCAGGTAATGATGCTAAATCACGTTCAAGATTTTCAATATATTCAGGCAATGCAGATATCTAAAATAAATGAATAATATTAGAACTATAACAAGAGGCATAAAGATATAAACTACCTGCAAAGCTAAGGCAATTAAGCAAACAATTGTAGTTCGAAGCATTGTCTTAAAATAACGAGAATAAGTCATAGAATGCAATGTATAATACAACCTGTATGCATATGTTTGGTAAGACACAGACAGATGATATATTTTCTCATACATAGAAATCAGGCCATTATCATTATAGTCGACAGAGGAAAATAATAATAAAAAGAAAAATGATTTTTGTTGATAACAATCACTGAATATTCGTTTAAAAAAAATTCAGAATATTATTATGTTTTTTTTTTCTTCTGAAAATGAATAGAAAATATAATGGAATTCAATTTTCAATAAGTTCAATATGAAATTAAAAATCTACTAAGTCGTATACAAATGAGGAAATGAATGCATCTACAGTTAATATATAGCTTGCATTCATCATGTTAAATTCTTAATTATTATTGATTGATGACGATGAATATGTATTTTTTTTATACCTTTGAATTGAAATATTAACTTTGAAAGGCTTCATTTCGAAGAAGAATTTCATATAGTTTTATTGATATTTGTACAACTTTCGCTAAATCTTGTTTGTTTTTTTAATTTAAATTTAAAATTTTGAAGGAAGATCATTTTCTTGATTATATTATAATAAACAATAGTACACGTTCGATAATTTCGTTCAAAATGCTTCCTAATAATTCAAATACTTAGAATTGTTAATGAATAGTTGATTCACATAAAATTTGCCTCGATGAAAACGTTTCCTAATGCAATTCAAGACTTAATCAAAGTCGATCTGTCTACAAAATAGTTTATTCTTGTGGGCGGCTAAGGTATAGATTTCAATATTCACAGTGACAAGAAAAAGACATATTAACTATTTTATGCATCAATTTATGTTTCAATCAAATCTTTGACATTGCATATAAAAAAAAAACTAATAAACAAGACACAACAAAGTACCGATTTAAACGGAATATATTATTCAGCAATCTAAGTCTTTCATGGTTAATATTAGTCAAAAAGAGTTTTTTCAGCAGCTCAAACGCAAACTTTGAGCTTTGGTTATTGAAATTGAACGAATAAGCAATCATAGTTGATTCCTGTTTTTGAAATGATAATATTGATAATTTAATCTATCATCTGCAGTTTATAACAGTAAGTATATTACTTTCGTTTGCCACTATATCTGACGAGTGACTATGTTGTTCGACACGTCACCTGAAGTAGTACTGTGTTCTACGGCTTGTCCACGTAACGCGACACTTGACTGATCAAGTTTTGAAAAAACTTTTTTTCGAGTTAGACAGATCTGAATAGGTTACTAGGTGCAGTTTTTAATGCTGATTACGAATTTGATATTTATTTTGTAAAAAAATCAGATTTCGGCATCGAAAACTCGGTTTTAAACTTTTCAAAAATCGTGTTTTGAATTTTCTGACCAAGAAAGTTTTTCATAAAATGCTAGAAAACATATCATTCGACGCAGAATTTCATTCTCTACAAAATGGCCTATTCAGTTTTCACTTTCGTAGCTCAGGACAACTTGTAGACTCTTATAAAGTTTCCAACTTACTGCTCAGTTTATGAGCTTCCATGTTGACGTATCAGTCTCATTTTTGTAAAGAACGCTTAGCTACAAGAAAGGACTAAGACTTATAAAAATGAAATCATTCTGAATATGTTAAGTGTCTCAAAATTGATCGACAAAAAACTGTGTAACAGCGTTACGAAAAACGTAACAGTGTTACGTTTATTTTTTGCATTTTTTATTTGAGCAAAAATGCTTTAGAGAAAATCTTTTTTACTGTCTGAAAGCCTGTTCAATGCTCTACAAAACTGGCTCAAAAAGCGTTTGATTTGTAGAAGTCGTTTGGCAAGAAATTAGAGTTTTCTCGATGGCACTGAAGAAAAAGGGTCTTTTTATGTAACAGTGTTACGCGAGGATAAATTCTTTTTAGACGACCGACGCCTCAGCCAAAAAGGGTTATTCTTATAGGATAAATAGAGTTTGATAAGCTGCGTCGAATGGCGTTTGAACGAACTTTCTAGCTCTTAAAACTTCTGAGATAATTGAAGAAGAATATGTCAAAAACGTAACAGCGTTACGTTTGGACAAGCCGTATAACCTTGACACCATTCACCAGCCATACAATGACTCTGAGCAAGTCACTATATTCTTAGTTAATATGTATGACAACTCAAGTAATTGAGTGCAAGAACTGTGCATCATGCCGATCTTCTGTTTAAAGTTGCAGCTTCTATTAATTGTAGGGAAGATATCAGGCTATCGAATCTGTCGCAAAGTAACTCAAAGACAAGAACATTATTCCTTCTTCTTCCATGTTATTTTCTTTATTCTTCTAATTTTCATTCAACAAATATTTTTATTGGTAAGTCTTGCCTGACATAGTAGAATTCGAAAATTAAACATAATAAAATCGATGTTCAGTCATCAAATAACTTCATCCTCTACTAACATTCATAGTTCATTATTCTTACATTTATATATAGCAATTATTCGATTCAATTGATTTAAACAAAAACAAAAAAAGACATTTGTCTGTTATCGTTCTTTATATATTATAAATCTCATTATTCTAACAATAAATTGAAAACAAAAGAATAATATGAAACGAAATAATTATTTATTAATGTTATCTACAAACAAATTACTCAATATATTCATAAATACTTTTGAATATAATATATACAGAAATGAACCTTAAAATACAATGAAACTATTTTCATTAAGAATAAAAGAAGTTTAAAAAGATCTGCAATGAAAAGAACGATATTTTTTCTCTCAGATTATGTTTCACAGTAAAAAAAAAAAAAAGAAGAAAACCAAGTATGATTATTTGATTAGATAAGCAAGAATACACTAAATTTTAATTTTGAAATCAGTATCTATGGATCAGTTAATTTAATAGTCGTTGTTTGTAAATCAATATCATCTTGTTCGACAAGTTCAGTTAGTTCTGTATCATTATGTATAATAGATACAGTACGAGATAGATTTGCTTTTTCTAATAGATCCAATAAAAGATCGACAACAGTTTCAGCAAATTGATTTTTATCGACTATATGAATTGATGATTGATTATCATTTAATGTCGTATCATTATCATTTAATGTTGTTCCAGTATCATTTAATGATGTTCCATTATCATTATTATATGTAACAAGTGGTGATTGACTAATTTCAGTTTCATTGAAACCTATATATATAAAATAGAACTTTTTTCTATAGCATAAAACTATAAGAAATAAAATTACTTGATGAATTAAATACTTGAATAATACCCGTGTGTGTATTACCAACAAAAAGGAGAAAGAAAACGATGATGATCATTTTTCGAGTGTGAATACAATTTGTTAAAATACTGAATCTTTCTTTGTGCTGCTTTTACCTATTTTTTTTTTGTTTTGCATTCTTATCTAAATAATTGACGATTGAACGATCGAACGTTTTATATAATCACCTTAATCATTCAGTTTAATTAGCACCATTTGTTGCTCCTCTTCTTCTTTCTATTGCATAGACAAGAATACAATCAATCAAAAAGAATTCACCATAAAAGAATGCACATTTTCATGATTGAATACATACACATGCCTATCAAATTTCGTCTGTATCAATTGCATAATAACATGCCATTGATATTGAATATCATTTATAGTTTGCAACTACTCAACACTTTTATTTATCTTTTAATGATTCTAAGTTACATGACACTTTCCTATTAACAGATAAAATGTTTTACAGTATTCATTTACAGTATCACTAACTGAATATGAAAACAAGCTCTTCTTACAAAATGCCTGTGTTTCGAGATGGTGTGATGTAGAAGAGCCGAAGAGAAATAATGTCGAAATCAGAAAGTATCGAAAAAAAAAGTGATGTATCAAGTAAACGCTAAATTTAGATGTTCATAGTTTATTATTCCTTTTCTCATTATTCTATCGATTTTTGTCTGTAGTCAGTACTAATAGTGATGAATAATACGTGATAAAAGCTAACTAAAATGAGTCAGAAAAAAATCAATAAAAAAAAGCGCAGCACAATCTTCAATAAAAGTTTTAATTATTTTTAAATGGTAACTCATAGTAACTACTAAAAGCATGAAATTTTATGGTGTTGTTTTGATGAGAAATTTCGACATGTTTGTAAAAGAAAAGTAACAATTTTATACTTCAAGGTACCTTGACAAATTGTCGTAATGCTGTATTGACTGTTTCACTTTTGTTGCAAATCTGGAACACTATCATATCGATTAGATTTTATTATCTAATAATCTATTTTTTTTTTGAATCTATTAGTTATATATAAGTTTACCGTCAATAATATCAATTTATTAAAAGAGGTTGAAACTTTTGCATCATTGTTAAGATTAATGCACAAAAATAATCATAAAAAAAAAGATGACGAATTTTAAAGGATAAAACTGAGAACGTCTGAACAAAACATTACTGTCATATTTATAAAGATATATATGATATCTTTTGTATTTGTTTACTATTAGCTTACATATATCTATATATGCACGAATAAAGAATCGGCGATTTAAGTCCTTTGTGATACGTTCATTATATGTTGATAGCAAATTTGATTGTTATATATGTCAACAAATTTGAATGAATCATCCGGTCAATACCATATTGTGTCTGCGTACTCATGAATTTGGTGGCGCTACATGTCTTGACATTTTTCCAACGTTCTCCTTACCATCAAGTGTTGCATATCCAATTGCTGGAAATCTTTTTCTTATACAGGCAGACACTATAAAAATTACATCATTGGAAAAAGTGTGAAAAACTAACTACAAGACAAACATTTTCTCCGTGGGGTATGCCCAAGCCCCCAGCAAAATTTTTATAAATAAGATTTTTCCGCAAAAATCATATGAATCTATCGTTCTCAACTCGAATTAGGCAACTCATGTGAAAGTCTGATATAAATGCGAGTGCAAAAAATAATCGAATATGCATAGTTACTTTTACGAATTTGCAGCGTCATTACATTCGTCAAGCAGCACGTGTTTCAATTCTCTTTCTCTGTGTAAGCGAAGGACTGCACAAACATAACAAAGGTTGATAACATATTGTCAATAAAAACATCGACATATAGAAAAAAAAATTTCCCCACGTACGATATCTTAGGCTCAGATTCGAGTATTTTTAGGACCGATTCGCCCAGCAAACTGTTTCAAAAAAGCTAATTACTGTTCCAAGTACAACTCGACGAGCTGCATGGAATGCTGAAAACCGCTCCTCGATACATAATCATTACCAACGAGATATAACAAAATTACTATTTTTTCTTCCATCCCAACAAATTATAAAAAAGATAATTCTGGGACCGATTCGTTTAGAAACTTGATCCAACAAAGATCTTTATGTTCTAAGTGCATTTCAATGAGCTCTATCGAATCGTGAAAACCGTACCTCGATACATACGACCGTTCTCGAGAAAAGACCGAAACACCGACCGAAATGGCGCTTCCATCTAGGATTTTCTGGGTCAATTCGCCTATGAAAGTGTTTCAACCAGTTTCAAATATGTTGCAAGTGCAACTCGACGAGCTCCATCTAATGGTGAAAACCACATGCTGATACATTCAACTGTTGCAGAGATATTACCGCGATGCCGGTCCCAACAGTCCGGCCAAACGTGTATTTCTTGGTCTGATTCACTTATGAAGGTAGTCCAAAGGATCCGAGCTCCGTTCGACGTGTATTTTGACGAGCTACATCTATTGCAACAAAAACCATACATCATAGAATGCGACTATAATGAAATATTACTGATTTCAAAGCCCAACAGCTGCGCTCGTGCTCTATTTTTTTGGCTCATCCGTCTCAAGCGTTCTTTGCAAAGATTTTCACCAATGGATACAGGTCGTCAAAATACACGTCAAACATAGATCGGATCCTTGAGAATACCTTCGTAGACGAATCAAACCAAGAAATATGTGTTTGACCAGACCATTGGGACCGGCATCGCTGCAATATCTCTGCAACAGTTGAATGTATCGACATGCGATTTTCACAATTAGATGGAGCTCGTCGAGTTGCACTTGGAACATATTTGAAACTAGTTGAAACACTTTCATAGGCGAATCGGCCCAGAAAATCCCAGATGGAAGGGCCATTTTAGTCGGTTTTTTGGTCTTTTCTAGAGAACGGTTGTATGCATCGAGAGACGGTTTTCACCATTTGATAGAGCTCATTCAATGGCATTTAGAACATAAAGACTTTTGTTGGAACCAATTTCTAGGCAAATCGGCCCAAGAATTACATTTTCTATAATTTGTTGGAATGGAAAAAATACTAGTAATTTTTTTATATCTCGTTGGTTATAATATGTATTGAGGAGCGGTTTTTAGCATTCGGTGAAGCTCGTCAAGTTGTACTTCGAATAGCAAGTAGCTTTACTGGAACGGTTTTCTGGGCGAATCGGCCCTAAAAATATTCGAATCTGCATCTAAGATATCCTACGCAATTTTCGCAGACATTTATTTGAAGAAAGCATACTGTTCAAAAGAAACCAACATTAATGTCTGACAAAATTCCTGCCTCTCTTTTGACATTACCTGTTGAACTCGTGTATCGCATTCTGGACAATCTCGATAAATTAACAATTTTATATTCAGTTCATAATGTGTGCACACGACTGAATGCGATCACTGACACATATCATCGATATCAGGTAAATTTTACCGTTACCGAGAAGTCAGATTTCAGTTATCTTTAAGATATCACGCAGTTCAACACATGATTATTTTAGTTATTTTAATTATTGATTTTAGACTTGTAAAAATTCAAGGGTAATATTTTGACTGTGATGAATATGACGTAGAAGAAACGAATCAATTATAATTGTCAAGCCACCTCCAAGGATTGCATTAAGTTTCTTTATTTTTTGCAATATTTTACTACACAGAAAACAGAGTTAATATTTTATCGACTGCATCAAACTCTTTGGCGTTGCCATTTTTTTCCTACATTATTTTTTAAAGAAACTTCTTTAGATGAGCTGCATTGAAGATCATAGAAGATAGCTTGTAGAGTGTCATGAAATGAAATACTTCCCACCCCGTTCAAGATATAACCGATATTTTATTTCATTCTAAAGGTCTAAGACCGACCAAATTTTTCATAATTGATTTCTGTGTTGAGAAAAGCTAGATTAAGTGTTGTAAAGCGAACTTTTCTTGCTTATTTGAACATCGTATGTAATAAAATTATCATAGCAAATGAACAAACGAATTTCAAAATATTGCTAGGACAAAAATTGCGCACAGATATTGACTTTAATTTGGAACCATCCCGAGCTCTGTGTCTCTTGTAATGGCGAAGCTATAAGAATTCTCCTGAAGTCTGTAAATGGACTATAAATAAGTTGGAAGTTCGCCATTTTTCGACACATCGGTTTGAAATTTTCACCAAAACTGTTTCTCACTAGAATGGCTCATTTCTGAAAACTTCAGTCTAAACGGAATATTCTAAGTAGAAAAACTATTATGAGGGAAGTCTTCTTGAACAAAAATCGATAGATAAATGCTGTCATATTGAAATTAAACTCGTAAAAATAAACGAAGTCTCAAGCAAGACATGAAGGAGCCTGCTTCATTTTCAAATTTTATCTCGCATTCCAGTGACATAAAAAAAATCGCCGACGAAATTTTTCTTCGTCTATAGACGTTCGACCAGTGATCAAACTAGGATATTTCACTTAAACCACTCTGTACGACTTTTGGGAAGTCTTTCTTGATTATTTTTACATCTCACTACGACTGGTGTGATCAGCATAGGTTTTGCAAGCCACCAAGAATACTTCCTCAATTCACTGTGGAACAAAACTGATGATGATTGTAACTAAATACTCTCTCAAATCTCGTGAGAATCTGACACATTTCTTAATGAAAAACCTAAACATCGTTAAAATAAGCTACCAAGGTCTGCATCAGAGTTAATGTCAATCGTATGCAAAACTTTCTATTTGTTCGTGTTGCGACCTACTGCCATCATCAGTACTTACTCTCCAAAGTGTTCATCAATCATTTGGCAAACGCCCTCAACACGATTAAGAAATCTTCTCATCACGTAGCTCCAAACCCGACTGGGACGTAGATGTGTCTCCGTAATCCTGATCGTTATTCTGAGAGAGATTCTCGATGATTATTGTTCAATTATAGAACAAAACGGATCCAAATATAAGAGTCAATAAGGAAACCGATTTCGAGTACAATCGAGCATATAACTATTTTCATATTACCGATGCGACTTTAGCAATAACTAATGAAACAAACTCATTTATCGTGAGGCTATCCAATGACATTACTAGGAATA